TCCCGGTATATAATGTTAAGTCCCGGTATATAATGTTAAGTCCCGGTATATAATGTTAAGTCCCGGTATATAATGTTAAGTCCCGGTATATAATGTTAAGTCCCGGTATATAATGTTAAGTCCCGGTATATAATGTTAAGTCCCGGTATATAATGTTAAGTCCCGGTATATAATGTTAAGTCCCGGTATATAATGTTAAGTCCCGGTATATAATGTTAAGTCCCGGTATATAATGTTAAGTCCCGGTATATAATGTTAAGTCCCGGTATATAATGTTAAGTCCCGGTATATAATGTTAAGTCCCGGTATATAATGTTAAGTCCCGGTATATAATGTTAAGTCCCGGTATATAATGTTAAGTCCCGGTATATAATGTTAAGTCCCGGTATATAATGTTAAGTCCCGGTATATAATGTTAAGTCCCGGTATATAATGTTAAGTCCCGGTATATAATGTTAAGTCCCGGTATATAATGTTAAGTCCCGGTATATAATGTTAAGTCCCGGTATATAATGTTAAGTCCCGGTATATAATGTTAAGTCCCGGTATATAATGTTAAGTCCCGGTATATAATGTTAAGTCCCGGTATATAATGTTAAGTCCCGGTATATAATGTTAAGTCCCGGTATATAATGTTAAGTCCCGGTATATAATGTTAAGTCCCGGTATATAATGTTAAGTCCCGGTATATAATGTTAAGTCCCGGTATATAATGTTAAGTCCCGGTATATAATGTTAAGTCCCGGTATATAATGTTAAGTCCCGGTATATAATGTTAAGTCCCGGTATATAATGTTAAGTCCCGGTATATAATGTTAAGTCCCGGTATATAATGTTAAGTCCCGGTATATAATGTTAAGTCCCGGTATATAATGTTAAGTCCCGGTATATAATGTTAAGTCCCGGTATATAATGTTAAGTCCCGGTATATAATGTTAAGTCCCGGTATATAATGTTAAGTCCCGGTATATAATGTTAAGTCCCGGTATATAATGTTAAGTCCCGGTATATAATGTTAAGTCCCGGTATATAATGTTAAGTCCCGGTATATAATGTTAAGTCCCGGTATATAATGTTAAGTCCCGGTATATAATGTTAAGTCCCGGTATATAATGTTAAGTCCCGGTATATAATGTTAAGTCCCGGTATATAATGTTAAGTCCCGGTATATAATGTTAAGTCCCGGTATATAATGTTAAGTCCCGGTATATAATGTTAAGTCCCGGTATATAATGTTAAGTCCCGGTATATAATGTTAAGTCCCGGTATATAATGTTAAGTCCCGGTATATAATGTTAAGTCCCGGTATATAATGTTAAGTCCCGGTATATAATGTTAAGTCCCGGTATATAATGTTAAGTCCCGGTATATAATGTTAAGTCCCGGTATATAATGTTAAGTCCCGGTATATAATGTTAAGTCCCGGTATATAATGTTAAGTCCCGGTATATAATGTTAAGTCCCGGTATATAATGTTAAGTCCCGGTATATAATGTTAAGTCCCGGTATATAATGTTAAGTCCCGGTATATAATGTTAAGTCCCGGTATATAATGTTAAGTCCCGGTATATAATGTTAAGTCCCGGTATATAATGTTAAGTCCCGGTATATAATGTTAAGTCCCGGTATATAATGTTAAGTCCCGGTATATAATGTTAAGTCCCGGTATATAATGTTAAGTCCCGGTATATAATGTTAAGTCCCGGTATATAATGTTAAGTCCCGGTATATAATGTTAAGTCCCGGTATATAATGTTAAGTCCCGGTATATAATGTTAAGTCCCGGTATATAATGTTAAGTCCCGGTATATAATGTTAAGTCCCGGTATATAATGTTAAGTCCCGGTATATAATGTTAAGTCCCGGTATATAATGTTAAGTCCCGGTATATAATGTTAAGTCCCGGTATATAATGTTAAGTCCCGGTATATAATGTTAAGTCCCGGTATATAATGTTAAGTCCCGGTATATAATGTTAAGTCCCGGTATATAATGTTAAGTCCCGGTATATAATGTTAAGTCCCGGTATATAATGTTAAGTCCCGGTATATAATGTTAAGTCCCGGTATATAATGTTAAGTCCCGGTATATAATGTTAAGTCCCGGTATATAATGTTAAGTCCCGGTATATAATGTTAAGTCCCGGTATATAATGTTAAGTCCCGGTATATAATGTTAAGTCCCGGTAGATAATGTTAAGTCCCGGTATATAATGTTAAGTCCCGGTATATGTTAAGTCCCGGTAGATAATGTTAAGCTTATATATACAGACAGAGGTTTAGAAAACACCTAATCATCATGAGACACAATTACAATTTTAATGCATGATTCCGACCGTTCAGATCTCCACAAATCTTGATATTGAAATGCAGTAGGAGGAGACAAATAATTTTATGAGACAATTACAATTATATTCTATTGCAGTTTTGATACTTTGTATTTGTTGGATTATTACCTAAGAGATACTGGTACTCCGGTCTTCTCCAAAAGAAAGACCCCACTCCCCGAGCTTACATCCTGCCAAACAGATGTGATACATATAAGTTAAAAATATTTAAGTTTATAGGAATAGTCTTCATGTCAATGGCTGACCTTTGTGTTCCGGGTTCAAGATGGCTACCCTGGCTTTTGATTGGATAGATATGCATGGCCGTAATATGAGTGATATTGATCAAATTTGAATATCATCGTTTTCGACAATTCATTTGTGACTGCTGATACAGTTTGGGTAACATCTGTAAGGGTTCCCGTTACAGTAAGACATTTTTATTTTTAGACAGCTAATGATATATGTTAAATAGACTTTTACGAAACTGTCCTTTATTACCGTCACCTGACTTTATGCGAAGCAGTTCTTTTATTTTCGCTATTTTCAAAGCGATGCAGGGGTGTGACTCAGCCTCCGGCGTACAATTCTTGTCAACATTTGTTAACAATAATAATAATAATATACAACATGTATATAGCGCCCTATATAATTTGTAAAAATACTCTACAACATATGGATAATAGTAATGATTAAAATTGTGAAAACAAAAAACGAAGGCTTACAATCACTTTCAAATAAAAGGGTGGTATTTACATGACGTCTTTGCAAAGATTCTAAAATGCAGACGTGAAGAGGTGAGTTTTGATGTTCCTCTCGAACTTGGCCAGGCATTTGACTTTCTAATAGCAGCTGGTAAGCTGTTCCACAACGTAGCCGAAATCCCTCTAAAGCATCTGTTTCTGTAGGTCACAGTACGAGATTTTGGGACACACAACAAATATTCTGACTCCGACCGCAGTGATCGTGACGGCTGATACAGGGTAACAAGCTCCTGTAGGTACTGAGGAGCTGTTCCATTCAGTTCCTTGTATGTGTATACCAGAATTTTGTACTGCAACCTGTATCGTTCAGGTAACCAGTGCAACGAATAAAGCGCAGGTGTGATGTGCTCTCTTTTTCGAGTACGAGTACATGTAACTAGCGTGCTGCAGTGTTCTGGACCCTCTGCAGACGACTAGTTAGTCTGTCAGATATACCACAGAGCAGGGCGTTACCATAATCCAACCGAGAGGTAACAAGTGAATGCACCAAAATCTTGCATGCATCTGCAGTTAGAAACTGCCGAATACAGCCGATGTTCCTGATCTGGTAGTAACAGGATTTAGCAATAGCGTTCATTTGTTGACAGAACTTTCAGTGAAACCATCGACTCCCTCTCGATATGTGACACTGTGTGTAGAGGATGCACAAACTGCCATAATACAAATACAGATCGTATAGATTTTTAGGTATACATTACATGGCAAACACTAATACTGGGACTATTATTGGCGATAAAAAAAACAACTGTACACAACTGTCACAGTGGCGACGCCTCTAGGTATCTCTACTGGTACAGAATAGTACGAGGGCCGATAACAGCTGTCTACTTCTACCACAATTACCGCTGTCCGTATTGTCATAAACATTTTTTTTAAATAAACTATAATTACAATACCTACAATTTTTCAGCGTTTCAGCGTTTTTGTTACTGCCGATATCGGCCATCGTAGAAAACACATCGCTAGATAAAAACAACCTCAATCATATTGACTGGAAAAAAACATAAACTGTAAGACACCATCTGGTTTGAGTCATCTGCTCATACTCGCCAGTCTCCTGTCATAGGTGGTTATACGCTACTTTGTTCTCGCCGTCTGCACTCATATTTCATAGAACACTACAAGATACATGACAGTACACGCCGGTCATAGAAAGCTGGAAATATCTACTCGCTGTTTTTTTCCGTCGTTTGTCATAGGAGAAAATACAATATATTCGTTTGTTGTTTTCGTCTGTCAAAGGAGACAACAATATATCCATTTGTTATTTTCGTCTGTCAAAGGAGAAAACAAGATATCCGTTTGTTGTTTTCGGCTGTCAAGGGAGACAACAATATATCCATTTGTTATTTTCCTCTGTCAAAGGAGAAAACAAGATATCCGTTTGTTGTTTTCGTCTGTCAAGGAAGACAACAATATATCCATTTGTTATTTTCGTCTGTCAAAGGAGAAAACAAGATATCCGTTTGTTGTTTTCGTCTGTCAAGGGAGACAACAATATATCCATTTGTTATTTTCGTCTGTCAAAGGAGAAAACAAGATATCCGTTTGTTGTTTTCGTGTGTCAAGGGAGACAACAATATATCCATTTGTTATTTTTGTCTGTCAAAGGAGAAAACAAGATATCCGTTTGTTGTTTTCGTCTGTCAAGGAAGACAACAATATATCCATTTGTTATTTTCGTCTGTCAAAGGAGAAAACAAGATATCCGTTTGTTGTTTTCGGCTGTCAAGGGAGACAACAATATATCCATTTGTTATTTTTGTCTGTCAAAGGAGAAAACAAGATATCCGTTTGTTGTTTTCGTCTGTCAAGGAAGACAACAATATATCCATTTGTTATTTTCGTCTGTCAAAGGAGAAAACAAGATATCCGTTTGTTGTTTTCGGCTGTCAAGGGAGACAACAATATATCCATTTGTTATTTTCCTCTGTCAAAGGAGAAAACAAGATATCCGTTTGTTGTTTTCGTCTGTCAAGGAAGACAACAATATATCCATTTGTTATTTTCGTCTGTCAAAGGAGAAAACAAGATACCCGTTTGTTATTTTCGTCTGTCAAAGGCGACAACAATATATCCATTTGTTATTTTCATCTGTCAAAGGAGAATACAAGCTATTCGTTTGTTGGTTTTGTCTGTCAAAGGAGAATACAATATATCTGTTTGTTGTTTTCGTTTGTCAAAGGAGAATACAAGATATTCTTTTGTTGGTTTTGTCTGTCAAAGGAGAATACAAGATATTCTTTTGTTGCTTTCCTCTCTCAGAGGAGACTACAGGATACATGTATAACACACTCCAATATTGCTGATGGTCGTTTATCATTGAACATTATAAGATATCAAGGTGGTGGTTCTCGTCTATTAAAAGTGATTGCAAACGATCCGATCGTTCTGTTCTGTGACAGTTAAATTCAATAAAAGTGATTGTTCTCGTCTGATGTTGTCTGTGATTGGACACAACCGGATAAGTGATCGCCATCGTCTACATACAAAAGAGACAATGTATCTGCTGATTCTCATATGCCATCAAAGAATAAAATAAATAAGATAATTCTCCTATTTTATAAGAGACTGCAAGGTATCTTATCGGCTGTGTTTGTCTATTTAGTCGTCTGTCATAAACATCTGACAGTCTGTCTATGTAGAAGATAGGAGGCTACTGAGGATGTAAGCACCAGCGATGACAGTAAGTATAAACTATCTTAGGTAGGAAACACAGACTTATCATTTAACGAATTATTCTACTTAATGTAAATTCTATCTGTCAATAAAAGTAATAGCACTCAACTAACAACTAAATTATGTAATGAATTGTTTCAGTTTTATGTTGTATTGTTTATCATCTATATAACATGGTTGATAAGAGGTATATTCATCTATCGTTTATGCTATGAAAAACATAAACAGTTCAAATTCAAATAATAAGTCGTTTTCTGAAATTAGGCAAATGATTAAGTTATAGTTTTGATTTCATCATACATTTTTTTTTCTGTTTCCTTATAGTGCCTTGAATATAAATGCCATTTGTTATATTTTATTGTATGATGATCCTTACTGTGACTTTTCCGTAAAACATATTTTGTCTGATCCATGGAAAATATAACATGATGTATAGGCTCATATATACCATTCAAAACATTTCTCATATAGAGAGGATAGATTTCCACTTTTTCCAAATGATTTGCTAGACGAGTTTAGATCTCCGAATCAAGGAAAATGAAATTCACTAAAGAATATTCATATATCTAGATGAGAAATATTTCGTTCTAACACAAATAACTTTCTATGGTTAAATAAATGCTGATTTGAAATATCATCAAAAGATTTTCGAGCAGTTAGTTTTTGTGTGAAATTCCTTTTTGGGTTAAATTACACACAAATCGATAGAACTACATAAAACCAATTTCAAAGTTCTTCAAGGTTTAATTAATTCAGGAAAAATTAAATTTTCTGATAATCAGTTGATTGGTTTTACACTGAATTCAACGTTGCCCTTATGACAATTATTTTAGCTATACATATTCGTTCTTTGCAACGTGGCAACATTCACTCTTGATATAAATAACCATTAAGTTGGCTAACTTGAAATAATATAGAAATTTGTTGAATTTAGTATATGCGAAAAGTTTAAAATCACATGATTATTACAAATGTGTAGCATAAAATTTGTAAATGTANTTTTTTTTTTTTTTTTTTTTTTTTTTTCTATAGATAAACGAATACATACAAATACAAACATGACATAAATTGATGTCGTTCCATATTATATTGATTTTAATTTATTACAAAAAAAATTGAATTTATGAATTTATTCGATGATCTCTGACGTGCATGCGTACATGCAATAGACAAAGATAAACGAGATGAAACTCCGGAGATTTATTTTTAGAGTTGTGCTAGGTGCCTGCGGCATTGTGTTTCAGTGTGATAGCACTACAAAGTCGGCATCAGTTCAAGACTTCTACAGGACGGCAAACACACTCGCATACTCTGCCTCCTACACACATACATGCAAGCATGCATACACAACACACATGGAGGCACGTCATTAAATGATCTTAGCTATGAATAGGACGTGAAAGAAAATAAACCGAAACCGCACATATCACATGTCATTATGGTCATTGATAAATTATCACGTGACCTGTTACTAGTATAGCTCAATGTTGCTAAGACTGATGATCGATCATAGAATATGACCTATCATCTCTTTTGTTCAATGACATGCCGAAAACGCTTTTTATTTACTTGATAAATACGATCTTTTTGTTTATTAGGACGCCTTCCAAATCTGTTACGAGTCCGAAAGCTGCTCTTGCTGTCTCGGGCTGGTGAATAACCGTTAATCGTCTCTTATTCGTTAACTTACCACATTATTTAAATGGTAATTTAATCTTGAAATCCCTACTAAGGAAAGCTCGTGTTTCATATTATCCTTACCTGACACGCGTTATATGTTTATGTCTAGATCTCCATGGTGAAATGCAACTGGCTTAAGGTCATAGCAATCGGAGGAACACTTGTCTACTGTATTATACTGATTCTCTTGCACTCCAGTATAGGTACGTCATTAATTTGAACAGTATTTTATTGTGGCCTTAAACTTGTTTATGTAATCTGTTTTTTTCTTGGTCCATTGACAAATTCACATTCATTCTGTTAAGTTATCCTGCCAATCGGACAATAATGTAAATGTTATTGTCGTGAAATTAAAATGTCACCATTCACAACGTTTTCAAAATTTTTAATAACACTTTATAGATCTCAATCAACCATTGGTGTATCATTATTTTCTTTACATTTATCCATTCGTTCTTTTCGGCTATTTCTCTCCAACTATCTGTCTTAATATTAATAAACTATTATCATTCATACAGTACGACCACACAAGAAAGACATTGATCACGTGGCAGTACCACGTGCCCGTCAGCTGATTGTTTTGTCACACCCCAGGAGTGGGTCATCACTGACCGGTGATATCCTGCAGCACGCTGTCCAGTCGTTCTACGTATTTGAGCCACTACACGCATTAGAGAATATGTTGTCCAAGAATGTTACGTCAGTGAAACTTGTTAACGGGAACACTGTGTGAGTTTGTGTATGTATATATAACGGGGGCACTGTGTGAGTTTGTGTATGTATATATGACGGGGACACTGTGTGAGTTTGTGTATTTGTATATGACGGGGACACTGTGTGAGTTTGTGTATTTGTATATGACGGGGTCACTGTGTGAGTTTGTGTATGTATATATAACAGGGACACTGTGTGAGTTTGTGTATTTATATATATAACGGGGACACTGTGTGAGTGTGTGTATTTATATATAACGGGGACACTGTGTGAGTTTGTGTATTTGTATATGACGGGGACACTGTGTGAGTTTGTGTATGTATATATGACGGGGACACTATGTGAGTTTGTGTATGTATATATAACGGGGACACTGTGTGAGTTTGTGTATTTATATATAACGGGGACACTGTGTGAGTTTGTGTATTTATATATAACGGGGACACTGTGTGAGTTTGTGTATTTATATATAACGGGGACACTGTGTGAGTTTGTGTATTTATATATAACGGGGACACTGTGTGAGTTTGTGTATTTATATATAACGGGGACACTGTGTGAGTTTGTGTATTTATATATAACGGGGACACTGTGTGAGTTTGTGTATTTATATATAACGGGGACACTGTGTGAGTTTGTGTATTTATATATAACGGGGACACTGTGTGAGTTTGTGTATTTATATATAACGGGGACACTGTGTGAGTTTGTGTATTTATATATAACGGGGACACTGTGTGAGTTTGTGTATATATATATAACGGGGACACTGTGTGAGTTTGTGTATTTATATATAACGGGGACACTGTGTGAGTTTGTGTATTTATATATAACGGGGACACTGTGTGAGTTTGTGTATTTATATATAACGGGGACACTGTGTGAGTTTGTGTATTTATATATAACGGGGACACTGTGTGAGTTTGTGTATTTATATATAACGGGGACACTGTGTGAGTTTGTGTATTTATATATAACGGGGACACTGTGTGAGTTTGTGTATTTATATATAACGGGGACACTGTGTGAGTTTGTGTATTTATATATAACGGGGACACTGTGTGAGTTTGTGTATTTATATATAACGGGGACACTGTGTGAGTTTGTGTATTTATATATAACGGGGACACTGTGTGAGTTTGTGTATTTATATATAACGGGGACACTGTGTGAGTTTGTGTATTTATATATAACGGGGACACTGTGTGAGTTTGTGTATTTATATATAACGGGGACACTGTGTGAGTTTGTGTATTTATATATAACGGGGACACTGTGTGAGTTTGTGTATTTATATATAACGGGGACACTGTGTGAGTTTGTGTATTTATATATAACGGGGACACTGTGTGAGTTTGTGTATTTATATATAACGGGGACACTGTGTGAGTTTGTGTATTTATATATAACGGGGACACTGTGTGAGTTTGTGTATTTATATATAACGGGGACACTGTGTGAGTTTGTGTATTTATATATAACGGGGACACTGTGTGAGTTTGTGTATTTATATATAACGGGGACACTGTGTGAGTTTGTGTATTTATATATAACGGGGACACTGTGTGAGTTTGTGTATTTATATATAACGGGGACACTGTGTGAGTTTGTGTATTTATATATAACGGGGACACTGTGTGAGTTTGTGTATTTATATATAACGGGGACACTGTGTGAGTTTGTGTATTTATATATAACGGGGACACTGTGTGAGTTTGTGTATTTATATATAACGGGGACACTGTGTGAGTTTGTGTATTTATATATAACGGGGACACTGTGTGAGTTTGTGTATTTATATATAACGGGGACACTGTGTGAGTTTGTGTATTTATATATAACGGGGACACTGTGTGAGTTTGTGTATTTATATATAACGGGGACACTGTGTGAGTTTGTGTATTTATATATAACGGGGACACTGTGTGAGTTTGTGTATTTATATATAACGGGGACACTGTGTGAGTTTGTGTATTTATATATAACGGGGACACTGTGTGAGTTTGTGTATTTATATATAACGGGGACACTGTGTGAGTTTGTGTATTTATATATAACGGGGACACTGTGTGAGTTTGTGTATTTATATATAACGGGGACACTGTGTGAGTTTGTGTATTTATATATAACGGGGACACTGTGTGAGTTTGTGTATTTATATATAACGGGGACACTGTGTGAGTTTGTGTATTTATATATAACGGGGACACTGTGTGAGTTTGTGTATTTATATATAACGGGGACACTGTGTGAGTTTGTGTATTTATATATAACGGGGACACTGTGTGAGTTTGTGTATTTATATATAACGGGGACACTGTGTGAGTTTGTGTATTTATATATAACGGGGACACTGTGTGAGTTTGTGTATTTATATATAACGGGGACACTGTGTGAGTTTGTGTATTTATATATAACGGGGACACTGTGTGAGTTTGTGTATTTATATATAACGGGGACACTGTGTGAGTTTGTGTATTTATATATAACGGGGACACTGTGTGAGTTTGTGTATTTATATATAACGGGGACACTGTGTGAGTTTGTGTATTTATATATAACGGGGACACTGTGTGAGTTTGTGTATTTATATATAACGGGGACACTGTGTGAGTTTGTGTATTTATATATAACGGGGACACTGTGTGAGTTTGTGTATTTATATATAACGGGGACACTGTGTGAGTTTGTGTATTTATATATAACGGGGACACTGTGTGAGTTTGTGTATTTATATATAACGGGGACACTGTGTGAGTTTGTGTATTTATATATAACGGGGACACTGTGTGAGTTTGTGTATTTATATATAACGGGGACACTGTGTGAGTTTGTGTATTTATATATAACGGGGACACTGTGTGAGTTTGTGTATTTATATATAACGGGGACACTGTGTGAGTTTGTGTATTTATATATAACGGGGACACTGTGTGAGTTTGTGTATTTATATATAACGGGGACACTGTGTGAGTTTGTGTATATATATATAACGGGGACACTGTGTGAGTTTGTGTATATATATAACGGGGACACTGTGTGAGTTTGTGTATTTATATATAACGGGGACACTGTGTGAGTTTGTATATATATATATAACGTGGACACTGTGTGAGTTTGTGTATTTATATATATAACGGAGACAGTGTGTGAGTTTGTGTATATATATATAACGGGGACTCTGTGTGAGTTTGTGTATCTATATATAACGGGGACACTGTGTGAGTTTGTGTATTTATATATACAGTATATATATCATTTTGTTTGTTACAATGCTCCGGCATTAATGCTGTTATATAAAATCACTACAGGGTAACTTGTTTATTTCGCAACCCTGCAGATATAGGGAAAATTAAAACGTAATTGGCTTACTCCTTCTCATCCCATGATTGTGAGAGGCGACTATTGTGAACCCTCTACGTAATTTGTTGTCTGTTCGTGGGGTAAACATAGGCGACCAAACTTAATACGTCCCCCTCCCCCTTTTGTTTTGCTCTTTTCCCCCTATTGGTTTTAATAATGTGTCAATAACTTTGTTTTTGCCTTTGTATCATTCAAGACACACATTTAAACATTTTGATTGGCTAATACAAGTTAGATAAACATGAAAACAACGCTCACTCGTTGTAAAACCTATTTCCTAAATACGTCATAACGAATGTCAATATTCGTTAGAACATTTATGATTTAACTTTCAGTATCTTTTTGTGGTTCTGCTATATTTGTTTGTGTAAATATATAATGTTTTTTTTCTTAATGAGTTGATATCTATTGACGCTTTGGTATTGTTTATGTTGTTTTTTGACGCTGCCGTATTTTCTACCTTTCGTGTTGACGCTGTAGTATTTTTATCTTGTACGTTGAGGCTGTAGTATTTTAATTCTGTATGTTGACGAGGTGGTAGTTTTATCTTTTATGTTGACGCTGTAGTATTTTCTACATTTTGTGTTGGCGCTGTAGTATTTTTACGTTTTCTTTTGACGCTGTATTTTTACCTTACCTAATAACGCTGTGGTATTTTTACCATGTGTATTGACACTTAGAGTAAATCCTAAATTGGCTGCTGATGCTCTAGTTTTTTTACATTTTGTGCTGACGCTGCGGATTATTTTTTCTTTGTGTGGTGACACTATGTTGCGTCTTTTCTATATTGCTTGACAGTAATCCTTAAATATGACAAGAACGATTACAATAATATCATCATCGATCTACACATGTATAAAGTAGAGTGTATTCTTGTTTATCGAACTGAACATAAACAGATGTTGACTGGTAATTATTATATGAAATATGATAACATGATCACAATGCCTATTGTTATGCTCTTAATGTCAGTCTGTACGTGGATTCTGTATATATTATCAATAACAAACGTGTATGATCGTATGACAAGTACCCCAGACTATCAACTCTTTGTTTAGTAAATAAAATGTTCTTTGAAGAATATGTCAATATTGCAGATTTTTTTTTTTTCTGCAAACTCAATAAAATGTCGAATTTTATTATGATAATCGCGTATTGGCAATTAAAAATGATATCTTATTTCGTGTTTGAATGACACTTACAAGTATTTGGTATACGATAATGTTGCCCATTTACCTGAGCATGAGTGCCTAAGTCTAGTTCAGGGGCGGGTCCAGATGAGGGCGTATTCATTAATTAAACACATAAACACCCTGACACTTTAACTATAAAATATACATGCTCCAAGTCAGGAACCGTTACATTAGTGCATTTCACAATTATTTTATGTTTTTTAGCAAAAAAAAAAGGTCCAAAGATTTGATTCTACGCCCCTCTTTCAAATATCCTAGACACGCCCCTGTAGTTGTTTATATTCCACACACTCGATATTTAGATACTAAACGCAGGTGTTTTCCCATTAAGCTTTCAACACATTTATAGTTCTTCCAACCCAAGTGCAGTGCTGTACAATACATGTGTACCGGGAAACCGTCGCCAAGTCACATTTTCGCCATTCACAGTTAAAAAGTCAAATTGCGGTGGGGATTTCCCGGTATGAAGCACTTAGAAGTTATCTCCCCCTCCCCTCCTAAGATCCCCCTTTAAAGGTAGTGTAGACTTATTAAGAAAAAGTTTTTTTCCTTTCTTTTAAATGTCAACAGAGCGATTTCGCACGCCAGCTTTATTGCAAGGTCTATGGATATCCTTGAAGCCTACATGACGTGTGACTTCCGGTCACTAGACCACGTGACACTCACTGACGGATTACAGCTGATGAGCCACAAGTACATACCCTTTTTAACTTGTGTTGAGGACAAAACCAACAACACGGTATACATGAACAATGCTGTATCCTTGTGTCTGAGACTATTGGAGAGGGCGTGTCAGGACTCGAGGTTTATTGTGATAAAAACAGTAAGAGTAGCCATGGTAGACCTGCTCAGTCTAATAACTAAATACCCCTCCTTAGGTATACTGCATCTGATACGGGACCCCAGAGCAGTGCTGTACTCAAAAAGTAAGTACATAATTACCTATGTTTTTTATGTTGACGTATGACATATGTAATTTTAGAACGCATAAAGTAATACATTATTTATTTATAGGCATTTTTGACGATCTAAAATATAGGTATCAAACTTTCTTTCTGAAAAATATTGAAGTCAAAATTACAACATGTTTATCTTCCTAATGGATTTAAACTTTCGATAAGAGTGTTCTTTATCTTATTTGAGCATCCGTTTGAAAGGACTATGGCTTTATCATACATTCATGCCGTAATACATTATATAATATATTGACAATATTTTATTAAATAGCAAAATGCTTAATCCATACTCATCCCCAGGTTTCAGGAGGAAATATAGAATGTGTAATTTTTTTTTTATAAAATGCTCCTAGAACCTATTACCTTTGGTTTGAATCGTTGATTTCATTTCAAACATTTTTATCAGTGTTTAGTTTTTAGAGTCTATTTAGTGATAAACCTACATAAATTACATGTGTTGATGTCTTACATAAAGAACTACATATGCTACAAACATACATTGATCCCATTGGTCACCTGGCTCACACTAAACATAGTTGATTATTGACATGTAGTGTGACATTAGACGACCTAACAACCTACTCGGAATAAACGTTTAAAACATACGTTCGTATTGATGTTATTGTCGGAAGAGAGTATTTAATTAGGTAAAAAAATAAGTAAAGCTTATAGAATAGGTAAAAATAATGTGGAGTCAATCTGCCAAGGTGAATAAATGTACGGAGTAAATGCAAAACAACAGGTGGTGTAAATTGTGTACGCTGTGTTTAATTCCTGAAATGTTTTTTTGTCAAGTTACGGAAATTGCTCTGAGTTTTGCGCCCTTGTTACAGCTAAGATGTAGTAGAATGGAGAAAAGAAAAAGATATATATTTTTAATGTTGCAAAAGGGGTTAGAGGATCTATTGTTAGTTTTCATGGCTAGGACTTAACCCTGGATTCTGAAGGAGAACCTATATCAGTAGCCTTGGGGATGCAGCAGATCTATTCTCTTCCTTGAACCTGCTAGTAACATTTTTGCTTTAAGAAACATGCATCTTTTGACAAAATGAAAGATAGACAGATAGATACTTAGATAAATAAATCAATATCAAACAAGAATATATATATATAAAAAGGATATCATAAACGTAAAATATTGTTAACATCACACACTTGTTCCTATAAAAAAGGGGAAACATTTTGCCAAAATCAATACTATTGTATATTATTATATATGTGTTTGCTTTTATTTACCAGGCAAGTTCGGTGTTGATCTACAGAGAAACACACATTTAAAAGCGCGTTCCGAGTGTAAATCCCTTATGCGCGACATGGATACAGCTTTGAGACTAAGAGTTATCTTCCCTTCCAGAGTGAACTCCTTATACTATGAGACCTTGGTCACGAGACCATTAGAAACGTCGGAAGCATTATACAATGGATATAGGTTAACTTACACGGACCAGATACGGTACCATATTGACAGGATCACACGGGCTGGCGGGAAAACTCAGTGCTCCAGGTTTAATGGATTGTGTCTGGAAAGCACCAATTCCTCTCAAAATGTAAATACCTGGAAAAGACAGCTCAGCAGAAAGATTATAAATATTATAGATGTAAATTGTAAGTCTTTGTATAATAGAACAAACTATTTCTATAGTCGTATGACATTGAAGAGAAACTGATTCCTCTATAATGGCTTGGATTGAGGGTGTGTTATTTCCGTTCTCAGGGCAAAAAGACTTATAGAAGAGCTTTTTTAATATTTAATGTAAAAACATTGTGTTTTAATATTATCCATGCAATTACATTGTGTTTTGATTTTAAACATGTAAATCTATTGTGTTTTGATATTAAACATGTAATATTAGTAATACTATTGTGTTTTGATATCAACAATCACATAACATTGTTGTGTGAATCCATATCATATTCTGAAATTTTACAAAATGTTTATTTCTTGGTAACTTATCCTATAGATGACCAATGTGTTTATAAACAGGGACTTTTGGACCTGTATCCCTTGGATTTCATGTAGGATTGGTTGTCAATAAATATACATGATTTATTTAATTGTTAATATCTAAAACATAAACAGAAAATGATTAAATAAAAGTTGTAAAATGTTCATTTCAGAAGCTAAATTGGAGTTATCTCCCCTGCACTGTTTAATTGGATTGTTATGACCGAGTATATGTAATATTTGTAAATAAGTTTGGAAAGGACTTAAGGTGGCTCAACACACCACGAAAAAATGGATAAAAAACATTGAAATCTCACTTCTGTGTTTCCTATGATTACCCAATAACTTCCTAGACCTTAGTATAGCATCCGGCAACCTCATCATTGTTTTCCACAAAAAACATGGAAAATGCCAATTTTTAAAAATAAAATGTTCTCAACTTTTTTGAGGCTGCATAATTATGCATGTTCACGTAACAAATAAGGACAAGTAAAATATGTTTAAAAATTTTATTTTGATCTATTTCTTTTTTCAACAAAATAACAAAAAAAAATCAAAAACTGGAATATCTCCCAATCTGACGGTTAAATATGTATAATTTTGTCTGTAAAATATTCTAGAAATATCATACTATTAATGAACACTGTTAAATTGAATGATAAATGAATAGTGAATTAGATATTTTCAAAATTGAAAAATTATGACATTGAAATTTCCTTTTCAGAGTTATCTTTCTTGATTAAACAGGAACTTTTTTTCATAGGGCATTTGTAGCCAGTGCACTTTCCAAAACATTTTTTTTTCTTTCCAAATGAAATAAACAATGATTTATTACAAATAACTATAATGTTGCAAAATAGATAAACAATATTGATGATATACGCAACAGTACAATAAATATGATACAAATAATCAGATGTTTTGGCACAAACACAGCAGAAACTATAAATATTCAAAAAGCAAAAATTCAAAACATATGACCAACAAGCATGGAGTTGGAGTCAAATGTGTACTTGATTATGCTTTGTTGGTATATTTTTTTGTGCATACAATGAAAAGTTAATATATTGTGAAAAATTGAGGAAAACATAATATTTTATGTAAACATGTTTTATAGAATTTACCTATAAATATAATTTATGGAGAAAAATGATCAATAATTTTGTTCATGATAGCCTTGTTTTTTGTCACTCTTACAACATTAAATATTTTTTTTTCTTTTAAAACATTTTCAAGACTTTCTGATCCTCCCCTTTTCAAAAGCAAGTTTCAAGTGGTTATAAGAGAGTCCTGACTGTGCAATTTTTGTAACCATATACTGTGACATTATATCTAAAAGAGGCTGTAGTGAAGATAAACAATAACTTGATGTATTGTTAAAATCAATGTAAGACATTGTAAAATGTATTGTAAAGCTGTGATTTAATAAAATTGTACTTGAAACATTGTGATGTAAAACCAATTTCTGTAGACTTTTTACATCTTCTAATGCAGAATGTGCAGCATACTCAATTCCCAGTGTTCAATTCAGATTGTGTTTGCTTGATGCACAGGGTCACGTTACAATCACACATATGCTATACCACGGACTTAGATAACATCTAATTCCGTGGCTATACTGATATGGGTCACAACACACATAAACATTGTTGTGACCCATATCAATATAGCATGTGCGATTGTAACGTGACCCTGTGGTTGATGTGCATGAACGGAAACATAGCAATGTTTAAAATATGAAATGGACCGGTATTTTGGTTATTGTCTCGATAACTGGCATGCTAAACAAACTAACATTTACTGTATGCATGGTCATGGTGCACATAGTTATTGTCCAGTTCACTGACATTGTTTCTTGAAGTGAATTTGCTGTGGTTATCTCTGTCCATTTCTAGAGCTATTGTCGACGTTAGCGACATAACACAATCAGTGTTTCTTCGGTCCTTCGAAAACATTGGCGAAAACGACTTTAATGTAAAGCGTTCAAGTGATTGAGTATGTTTTTGTATTTTTCAAAGCTGGAGAGTTACTTTTTACGGTGTATGGGCACATTTCGCTCGGAAATATTCAGTCCGCTGTACTTTTTTCGGAAGTACGTCATGAAAATGGCCGCTGATGACGATGTGTCGAGTAACCTTAAATAGGCCTAGCCTGATGTCCAATCCAATTGACATATATAAAGTCAATACAATCTGTTGCAATGAAATAACATTGTTGCAATATTCACCGTCGTTGGATATAAAAAGTATGGGACTGTAAGGTATACGACATTGTATTTCAAAAGTTTTATTTTTAAACTAACGATTCAATAACACTTACATTGTATTTCAGTATTTACTATGTTTTAACACGTTGTTTCAGTATTTACAATATTATATTTATATTTGCGCTGCAATTCACTTTATGAAGATTACCAGCAGAAAAGAGTTCCATTTGAGTATGAAAGCAAAATCTCTCGTGACGTGACAGGTGGTTTACGCATGACGTCATAGATTAACATTGTTCAGTGACACTCTTGTCGCTTCGCTTCGGATAACATGGATAATGCTCCTGCACCAAACACCCAAATGACTACGGTTAATTTTTGGCGCCAATGTTATTTAAACAGGGCTGTTCCTCCAATGTCGTTTAAAGGACGAAGCAAACACAAAACGCAGTAAATAAATCAATTATTTAAAAACAAATAGGTGAAATAAAACAATTGTTCTGTGGTAAAAATGTAAATATACGGATTAAACGGCGTTTATTTTAAAATTTCCATGCCGGTATGAATGCAAATCGGTTACATCCATATTAAACATGAACCCTAGCGGGGTTCAAGCAATATGGATGTAACCGACATTGTTATCACTATAAATATTCGTTGAAATTCTTTATATAAATTTGAAAAATATTTTGATATGTTATTATGTTATGTTGATATTGAACCTTTACCTTGCTAGATCAGGAGGACTTTAGGAAATCAAAACTGATATAATACCTGGTGGTTTTGGGTCGCTCACTTTTTAAATAAGAGTTACCTCTCTTCGACCATTTTACATTTAGGATCCCTGTATGTACCACTGCCGTATATTTTCTATGTGTATAACCTCCCCTTACCTTCCGTTTGGATACATCTGTTAAATAATTTGGCCAACACATCCGATAACTAGGTAGCTCAGTCGGTTCTGTTTGAACTTAGGTGTTGATGCTTAAATTTAAAAAAAAAAATTGTCACATTTTTTATTTAGTTTGAACGACAAAACAAATATTGCATCTAACATCAGAAAATAAACAGTACGTAGTAACTTTGTGGTCGCCATTAATACAAACTTGGTTTCGTTGGAATTAACGGCTTTAAGTTCGATTGCATTTTAAAGCATTTTGTATTTTATTTATTTCGTTATAATTTAATCTTGCTTGTAACATGCATATTCATTGGCTTACAAATGTATGTTATCAGCCCATAACGTTTGTAATGTTGCTTTTGATTGGCTGATACAGCGGCGTAATAAAGAGTCCATCAGTAAAAGTGGATTTCCACTGGGATTGTGTATAGTAGATTAAATTATAAGGATTAACTTGAATATATTTTTCATGTTATGGGCCTATAACACACAAAAAACGATGTGTACTCTCATCATAAACAGCTTCGCGATTTATTTAGAGTACACTCCGTTTTTTGTGTGTTATATCTCCATAACATAACAAATATATTCAAGTTAATCCTGAAATATAGCGAGTATTTCTTGTATCCTACCGTCAAAGTGTTTGATAAGTATATTGTACGTTAATCGGTGGTATGTGATATGTATCCACAGTTTGTAAACGTATTGAAGAAAAGCCGTTTATCACGACGGGTACATACATGTAACAGATGATTGTGTTGAAGGTTGTTGCCATGCAAAGTTGTATAGAAATTATTTACAATTAGCCTTAACAATTAACATTAACGTTTGACATGGACATTTATATACAATAATGATAACAGATGAACAAAACAGTAGAAACAACATTGAAAGTATAGCCCGATGATAGTTATGAGATATGTTGATAACAGTCAGGGAATGGTAGGACTCCAGTGGTGTGTCCTCGATACTTAACGAGTTACTCTCACTCACGCTCTCTGCATTAGTGGAATACGTCAAAGCAGGACTGAAGGCATGTGGTAGCAATTTGATAAGTCTCAGGTACATGTAAATAAACCTGACCGAGCGCTAGGCTCATACATGTACTTTAAAGATTATAGAGGAGCGTCCTCCTACTTCAAAGACAGTCCAGTGTACCGTTACGCGACCGCAAACTTCTTTTGATGAATATCAACGGTTCAAACTAGTCTTCTTGTCTCATCCTCAAGGTGGCACACACTGGGCCTTCTATTTTGTCATGACACTTTTCAGGGGTACATAGAGCGTAAGTGAGCGTAAGTGAGCGTAACCCCTAGAGTATTGAGGATGGAAGTGATGTAAAGAAATGGTAAAATAAGAAGACAGTATTTATTGCAATAGTTTGTTCTTGATTAAAACGTTCTCTACGGCAATGCATACTTATTTTTTTCAAATATCATTTAATACATGATCGTTAAAATGAATGTATTATGTTGTGTGTTTTATAGTAAACGCAGAATCTGATATAAACTGACGTTTACTTTAAATATATCTATTCAATGAAAAGGGAAGATTGGCTTCAGTATTAAAACAAGATAAACAATAAATTGTTCGTGAGTAAGCTACGTGTCAGTCTGAGTATAGCATGGAGTAATTAAATCTTATTAACGACTTCCTGCATTCAGATATTGCTGGGATTTGGCAGCATTTCTAGAGGTAAAGTAAGTCTTTAGATAATATATCTTCGTACATGTTAAGATATTTTTTTAAGTCGGATCTTCTTTTATTGTCTTTGCGATCTTCAATAGTCACAATGACTAATGTAGATATGTAGGTGACCTGCTGTGGAATTTTATTGTTTTCGGTAAGGTTCTTGTATTTGTAGTAATTGTTCCCATTGGATGTCATGAAATGAGAGTAAAATAGTAACTAGTTAAACACTCCTGTAACAATTCTGACTATTTCTAATTAATTTCTAATTTCACAGCTTTCATTGGTATTTAAGGATTCTGTCGCAGATCATGGCATCATATTTAAGTTTGTGTGAGAAGTGCAAAAATCTATACCAGTGGCAACATTTAGTGTTGTACATAGGTATGCTCCTGGGATAGGATAAGTATCCAACTCAAATCATTATCAGCTTTCATATGAAGGATGTATTTATATTGTAAATGCGTTTTGATGTCTTTTATGTTTATATTCCGTCTTTGTGTATTGCAGTGTTATCTTCTCTTGTGAGCAGGTATTGATTGTTACGTATTGGTTTGTGTGAAAAAAATACGTCGTTTTCTCAAACATTGATGACGTTACTCACGCAAACAAATGACGTAACAATCAATACCTGCTCACAAGAGCAGATAACTGTGCAAATCGTAAGACACATCTATGTGATTAGAATTGTTGGTAAGAGATACAGTATGGCAAAGATTAACTACGATATATCATACAGCTGTTCCTTCTAGGGCTCCTCGGTGGTGTAAGGGGCCAAGGTTGAAATCTAAATAGATATAATCTACTATTAATACAGAAGGGAAGGTGTGTTTACACGCAGGACTTGTCTTCAGAATATGTACTGTAGCACGTGATATTACATAAACCAGCCTTTCCTCAGTACCAGGGTTGACATTAAAAGATTTCGTTAAGCACGATTGCATGCTAAAATATTCTGCGAGTGTTATCTTGTTTGTATTGAAAAAAATTAGAACATAATGATTGAATAATATATGTATAGTATTACTTAAAACATAATATACAAGATATCTTCAAAATTCCGACTGTGTCGAATGCAGAACGATTGTTTTAGTGACAAAAAGTAACATGAGTCACATAGGAATATCTTTCTTTGGAGAAATTCACCATCTTATCCTGATGCCTGCTCATGAAATCCTTCACGGCGGTTATTTCTAAAACAATTCATCATGAACATGCTTAGTCTGTTTATTTATTTCCTCAGTTAAAATGTGCACACGACCTGTGAATGGATGTGACATATAATTGACGTTTTGCGGCTAATTCGGTTATCATGTTCCAAACGGTTTTACTGCTACAGTAATAGATAAAAACAAAGAACAACCAACAGGTAAAATTCGAGTGCTCTTTTATTGTGTCTCCGTATACTTATATACAGTTTTATAATATATATTTGATATATCTGTTATATTCTATGTATATTGTCTATCATTATATAAACATTAGATACTGGCGAACCAGATGACTACATCGGTATGACAATACGTATAGATGGCCAGACACTAGTTAGTAGGCTCTGACCAACATATCACATCATCTGTGTCCTTAACACAGGGCAGGTAACACGAATGCATATATACATCACTTATACAATATATGATATACGTTGTCATGGTAACATAATATTAACTATAATAACAGAATTTCCTATTAAACCAGACAATAAGTAATCCTACGTTATAATTTATTCGTACTAAGTACTTAGTCTCCGTATGATGATCTGGAAAGTTGCTTGCTTTGTTTTAATATTCGATGCATCCACATAACTTGCAAATACCTCAGTTAACAATAAATATGTTCCTTTTCAACATGATAAATGAAGGTCTCAGCATCGATCATTGCCTTATTCCTATTTTTATATATTCAGATATAATGTATGTATTTGGCTATTATCTGGCACTTCTCACTTCATCATTTTGGCTTATTATATCGCTGACATGTTAATGCACAAAGCAGGTTGTCGCACTACATTTGATATTCCCTGTGTGTTACTATCAGTACAACGGGTTCTAGCAATGCTTTGGATAGTTAACATTATAAGCATGAAGCTTGATGATAAGATGAATGAATATAAATTATGCTATTTGAAATTAAGACCAGACTATACCTTGATTGATGTTGAAATGAAATGGTCTGAGTATTGTTCTGTATCAGATTTGATCAAAGCTTTTATTTAGAACATTAACAGAGTCGATATCACAAGAATCACCACGGGAAGACTACCTCCAAATACCGATTACAAGTGACTGGCGTAACGTTTAGTTCGTCTCTAAACACATATGCAGTGAAAAGGAACTCGTTAACCTCCTCATCACTAATGAATTAATGTTAGCATATGGATGTCACTCCTCTTGAGATACACTAGATTTCTCACTTATAGTGGGTCCTCGATTTTGGCAATCGATAACGAATCTCTAACATAGTTCCATAAGTCTTAAAGAATTTTAACCTGAATGTTAAATTGTCCCGGCCATAAATTTAATTATGATGTCGGGTACTCGTTTTTACGCAGATAGAAAAACACACTTTTACAAAGACAAGTTTGTTACATGCGTTATCATAAAAAAATTAAGAATCCAAAAGCAAATTGAGTGTTTAGACTGTAAATAAAGAAAAAAGGTTTCATTCCATGAGTCCAATTGTTCAAGGATGACTAGCTAAACGACATCTTGACATGAAACTTCATTCTGGTAAAGGTAAGCAATAGATTCAAATCTACAATAATTATTATATTTTTGAGAATTCAAAATGTTCAACTGAAGACAGAAATGCACAAGATATTATATAGTTTATGATATATGTGTTCAAAAGTCTATATGAATGACTTGTTAAACTAAACAGGCCATCATGGATAACTTTACCCAATAAGCGCAAATCCTATTACTTCTAGTGCTTAATGCAGGCTACGCATGTCAATTTTGTATGATACTTAACAGGTATTTATTACTCATCACTACGTTTCAATTAATCAAGATTTGTTTAATCATAATAATAATTTACGTATCAATATTAACAATTCTGTAGTATTTAATACACCAATATAACGATAACAGGTAGATATAATAGAAGAAGGGTAAGAAAACAACCTTAAAGCTTTAACATTTGTTTGTTGTCACTATGACGTAACAAAGTGATAAATTAAAAAGAAGTGGTTTGGGAAATACGAACTTCTTTAAATCCATTGCCTGTTGTCATTATGACGTAACAAAGTGATAAAATAAAAAAGAAGTGGTTTGGGAAATACAAACTTCTATAAATTCATTGTTTGTTGCTTCCATTGTGTAGGGTTCCTTTTTTTTCTAAAATTGATATACGTAATAAATCTTTTTTTAAATGAAACATTTTTTTTTTTAAAGTTCTGAAGATTTCAAATCAAAGAACATGAATGACTTCGGTTTAAAAAATCTCAATTATATCATAGATTGACACCTTGTGTGTCGAGAAAAAAGTGACGAGCTTTTCCACCTTATTAATTTAAAACTTTGAATCTCAAAAATCTTAATTTGGATTAACGTTTAAGTTTTGAAATTTGTTGAAAAAGAAAACCCGAAAATATAATGTATATCATATTTATATTGGATTTTGAAATTTATCAAGACGAGAAAAAATAACAGGCCAAAATGTACATGTTTAGGAAAGATTTCAAACGGGTTTATTACTTTCACGTATTATACAGTTAATTCATTGTGTCTTGTAGTGCCATTGTTTCAGACATCACACTTACCGATATAATGATATCAATAAATAGTAACAACCCCATGTATAACATTAAACCAGTATAAGCCAAAGAAACTGTCCAGCAAATTCTTGCCCACCCTAAAGTCAGTTAAAGGAAATTCAGTTTGTATTACATTCCCTCACGTATACTTATTGGCCCACTTATTCCAGGACAAAAACAGGTGAAAATAAATGGGAATGAAAATGTCCTGATAGAGTATATGTTGTATGTATCATTTTTACAACTCCTGGCTACAACTCCTGGCTACAACTCCTGGCTACAACTCCTGGCCTGGCTACAACTCCTGGCTACAACTCCTGGCCTGGCTACAACTCCTGGCTACAACTCCTGGCCTGGCTACAACTCCTGGCTACAACTCCTGGCCTGGCTACAACTCCTGGCTACAACTCCTGGCCTGGCTACAACTCCTGGCTACAACTCCTGGCCTGGCTACAACTCCTGGCTACAACTCCTGGCCTGGCTACAACTCCTGGCTACAACTCCTGGCCTGGCTACAACTCCTGGCTACAACTCCTGGCCTGGCTACAACTCCTGGCTACAACTCCTGGCCTGGCTACAACTCCTGGCTACAACTCCTGGCCTGGCTACAACTCCTGGCTACAACTCCTGGCCTGGCTACAACTCCTGGCTACAACTCCTGGCTACAACTATGCTACTCTTTCTCTCTTTGTCACGTGACTAAAAGTTAATACTCCTAAAGTTTCTTTAAAATAACGATGTACATACCGAACAAAAAATGACCTATTAGAGCGTCGAACACAAAATGCTGCTAGTCTATATATAGTCCGCATATAACTTTACACAAAATTACATATATTTAATTCAAGGCGGATTTTCTTTTGGCGAATACATTATATTGTTATGATTTCAATATAAACTGAAATATATATCAGTGATATATATACATAATGATGTGACAGTTAGCTGTGTATTGTCTTGTAAAGTGTTTCAAGGATAGTATGGTTATTTACGTACTGATATGAACATGGTGGAACAAACTCAATGTAAATGTAGTATTTGGAAAAATATACACCCGGAAAAATTACTCCTTTAAAATTACGTTTTTCTTCTTCTATTTTGATGATGCATCAAATTGATTATTTTGAATCGAATTCCGGAACTTAGGTCCACAGACTACACATTGTTTTTCTAGGTATACATACTGTACCATGTAACGTAACATTTAAGATAACTGTAATATACATGTAGTAACGTCATCTAGTAGACACGGACCTTATAATCAAATGAGTTGGGAGTGAGGAGGCCTAGAGTGGTTGTAGGAGAAAGACGGTTACCTTATACAAATACTTGAAACCAAATGTCTAATGTTACAAATTCTGTGTCATACACAATTCAAAAATTAGTCTTAAGGAAACAATTACGTATCTTACTGTACAAGACTTAACAGTTAGCCGTAGGTATAATTTTCTGTGACAAAACAAATTTCAAAAAGTGTTTTTATTTTGTAACATTTCCTGTGTCATACAAGATATAAAATACGTCCTTGTATTTTTCCTATGGCATAAAGAGTCAAAAATAACTGTCTTTTGTAACGTTTTCTGTAGCATTCATGGCACAAAAGTAAGTCTCAAGTAATATTTTCTGTGTCATACAAGGTTTTAAAGTAACAATTTCAAGTAACATTTTCTGTGCCGTACAAGGTTTTAAAGTAACAATCTCTAATAACATTTTCTGTGCCGTACAAGGTTTAAAGGAATCAGTTGTATGTAACATCGATATTTAATTTAGCAAAATCACTATATAACCACTATAACACTTGTAATGGAAAACCGAGCTATTGTGGCACAAACATATTCAATATTTTCCAAATCATAGAACACTACTTCAGGCTTGTATGGGTTACATATGGTATCACCGTGTGGTGACTGTACGTACGAATTCGTCTGGCGAGGAGTACAGCGTGAAGTCAGTACAATCATCGAAAAATAAATGATATTTTTTAACTTTAACAAAGTATCAAACCATGCTTTGAGATAATATAACAACATAACATTACGTGCACATAACGGTATTTGTAGATGAAACGTAAATTTTCAAATTACATATCTTCGAGACAAAATATCTTGTTCCACATTCTAACACACACATTCCATATCATCCGTTTCATGCTATTCGCTAGCATCTCTCTGTGAGGATTTTCTTGAAAGCTTTCCTAAATTCTGGGTTAAATATCGTATAGATGACAGGGTTAAGGAAACTGTTGATGTAACCTAACCAGACAAAAGAATTAAATAAAAAGTTATCTATATTACACATAGGACTACTAAATAGTTCGTACCGAATACAAATAGCATTAATTATGTTAATGGTGAAGAAAGGTACCCAGCAAAACAGAAACACCCCTGCAAAGACAAAACACACAATGTTAGGTCATGTTTAGGGGATTATTATTGATAATAATAATTTCAGGTTCTTATATACCGCTTTATCACTTGGTCGTCTCAAAATGCTTTACAAATTCTAACTAGAGGTTTTTAACATAATAAGTTATAATAGGAAACAAATTAAACTCAAATTTATGTTAAACAGTGAAAAAATTGGAATGGATGAATTTAGATGAAATCATATACTAAGCGTATCGTATAGCTATGCTCCTTAAAATGAGCCTGGAAATCAATGTTTGTTGTTTGAAGAAAATAATAAAAAATATAATTATTATTATGTTATGTCTTAAAAGTAAACTGTGTACATAGAGAATAGAATTTTGTCACTTACCTAATACAATAGCTAGTGTTTTTGTTGCCTTCTTTTCTCTTTTCGATGATGATTTTTCTTTCCTTTTTCGGCTCGTGCGCATGTGGAAGTTAAATTTCGCTCCCCCTTTCTTGTCCTTTCTGCGGTGGGGGAGTCCTTTCCTGCCAGGTGACCGTATACACACATTGTCGTCACTAGCCTGGTCTATAACTACTCTTTGTATAGGAGTACCAAACTTTGTCTCATTTTCCGTGCACAATGTCGTATTACAAGTACCATTTCCGTTTCCACCTATTTGCACCTCTACCTCCCGTACGGCCACGCGGTTAACAATTAATGCGCCACTACCTTTTTCGTCTCCGTTATCATCGTCTATATCGATTTCACCGTCACTTCCCGGTGTTTTTGGCACATTGTCGTCTTCGTTGAATCGCTCACTCGACTGGGAGTCGGTGTTTGTGCCCACATTAGTGACTGACACGTCATCACATTCTGTGATTGGAATTGACAATTTGGTTTGGTTGTTTTTGTTGTTTGTGTTATACGTGGCGAGCTTACCGTTATCCACACTTTTGGCCAGACCGGTTGTAACGGTAGGTTCTATTTTCATAGCGGTCACTGTCGCTGGGTTGGCTATAACGTTGGTAGACGATGTTTCGTGCTTTATTTGTCGAGCTCTTTTTGATCTCGCTTGTGCACGTGTCCGCAAGTGTAGCACGCGGTATATCCTCCAGTACAGAAATATCATTATCAGTGACGGGATATAGAATGACCCCATTGAAGAACAAATAAGGAAGTCAGAATTAAAGAACGCACAATATCCTGGCTTCCGTAAATCAGAATAATTAACACCTAGTGCAATGGGCGCTGCAATGGCTACAGATATGATCCAACACAGGGCTAACGTCACAAATACACGCTTTGAATTTTTATGTTTGGCGTATTTTATTGGCTGTGTAACAGCAATGAATCTGAAATGTAAGAAAAATTGAATCATTCATTAACTTATAAAACAAATATTTCAACATTAAATTGTAATATTCACATTTAAATCAATTAACAATCCAAACCTAAGATGGCGTGTGTTGTCAGTATGGTATATTTGCTTTTATTATTAAGCAATTCTCCAGAATATTTACTAAGCAAGATATAACTGCATGTATAAGGTATACGTAAGCTATTGAAATAGTTACATTAAATACGAGAAAGAGTTTGAAATTATATATATATAAAAATGTGTTGTCTCCATTTTGAACTGATATGATCGGATGAGGCAGTGGAAAGCGCACTCGCTTTTCACCTAAGCGGCCTGGGTTCGACTCTCCGATCGGACGTGAAAAGGCATTGAGTCACGTGCCCGACCATGTTATCTCTCGCATAAAAAAAACCCGCGCGCTACCATCCGGGCCAATAAGAGTGCTTTATAAAAGTTGATAGAACATGTTTCTCAATAGTGGTCAGAGACATTCTCAATTCAGGTAAAATAAACAAAGTTCAATTTAATTAAACATAGGTTACCTGTCAACACTGATTGCGGTGAGATTAAGAATGGAAGCTGTGCACGCCATGACGTCAGAGGCCACCCACGCGTCACACAGAGGAGCACTTAGCAACCACATCTGGACTACCTGTAAATAAACAAAAGAAAAGAAAGATCAAATGCATGCTATTATTTTTTCAATTTTCATAAGCAAAACAATAGTGAGAATCAAGTTGAATAATAGGCAAAACCAAAAAGTTAATAGAAAAATATAACAGTGTCAACACAAGACGGTATGATTTCATACCAAGCAAAATGCCCTCTCTCGTGAATGTCCCTGCGTACGTTTAGTCTGAAACAATTTATTAACCATTTGGTATGAAAACACATATTTTTGTGTTGAAAAACATTCCATTTTCAACGCTGGTCGATGTTCATCGTTTAGCCAAACAGTTTCTTTAACTGACTCTTAAAAGCATCACTTCTTATAGCTTGTGTCGTCCTACCTCACATATTACACCTCGACATGGCCCATAGCTCTAGTGATGTTCTTTAAAGACACAAATCCGGGATCAAACTAACCCTAGGCATTTCGAAGTAAATGATTACCTGATGTGCAGTATTAAAATATCTTAATTATTACTGCTTGCTTAAGGGACGCACTTGACTCTGCATGCCATGCTACTCTACGATATTGTACATGGTTATGTGATCTGTGATGAAACGCAAGGCAGGACTTTTATCATTGTTAATTTTTTTTAATCATATTTTAAATTAAGATAATATTTATTGAACTTCAATTTATGATTTATTTTACATTTTGTATTATTCGTTCGTTCGTGTGACATTTGATCGACAGGAAGGGGCGTTTTTCGTCAATAAAGTAAAACCCTCATATTGTCTTCATGAATACAGTGCAATATGATTTCTAGCATGAAGATTAGTTTAAAGTACGTAAAAGATCAAGAGCTTCTAAATTATTCACGAAAAAACAGGTAATTTAAAGTTGAACGCAGTCGAGCGGGCGTATAGATGTTAGATTTATGGTATTTACTTTATAGATTATTGAAGAAACTGAAAAATATCTTATAGTTATTTTCTCTTGTGAGCAGGTATTGATTGATACGTCATTGGTTTGTGAGAGAAAGTTACGTCGTTTTCTCAAAAATTGATGACGTTACACTCACAAACCAATGACGTAACAATCAATACCTGCTCACAAGAGCAGATAACTCTGCAATACGAAAAGACGGAATTCATAAGTCACCTTTCTCTCCCCTTTCTACCACTAAACGATTCTGTGCTACATCTCCATGCCATCTGGTTATACACCGTTGAGTCAGCTTGGTCCAAGCATGCTCTAGATCTAACACTTCAATTATCTCTCGCAAAATAACCTGTTTGTCCTTTGTCTCTCATGGTATACTCGTGTTATGTTCAGCGGCCATTACAGATTGACATTTGTTTTTTTCCCCTTTTAATGCTAGTAAATAACATTTTGCTTAAAACAGTTGTCAAGTTCAAAGGATATCTACCCATCTGCCTCCTTAGAATTTGAACTAGCACACACGCCTTCACATAGTAAATAATTTGACAAAAATAAAACATCAAAAATGATGCCCTCAGATCCTCATAATTATTGTAGTATTCTGTTAAAGGTTATGAAAGATTACAGAAATCAAACTCGTTCATGAACTTTTGTCGATGAGAAAAAAGACATCTCCAATTGACATATAGGATTCAAAATAATGACCGTGAATATGCATGATGTTTGTTCCGAAGGTCATTTTTCTTTATGTTTAAATTAAAGAAGATTTTTTGCTGTGATTCTACATATATATTATGTACGAAGAACAAAAACGAAAACACATAATGTACGACTTACAACGATACCATATTTAATTGCATCACAATGGATATCACCTACTTGGTCCCAGTGATATATCTATGCTTCTAGCATACCTACTCAATACGTAACAGGTACATATGTACTCCCGTATTTGCAGCGACATACAATTAACCAAAACAGAATATTGGATTAAGTAGTTTCTTCTGATTTTGAATTTTTCATAATTAAGAAGTCTTACGCCCCATCCTTTCGTTTAAACATGAGTTTAGATCCTTTTGGATTCCTAGCATCATCGATAAAACCTACCGGAACGAACCAGCTGTGTGGTGCAGTGTACTTTATCTTGGCATATTGTTTCCTTTGCCAATTGCAATCACCTCTGTGTGTATTTTGTTTGATATTTTGTATAAGCATACGTTTACTTGAAAAAAGCCACGCATAAACCGTTCAGTAAAAAATAACATTTTCAGAGGAAGAGTTGTTAAGTAGATTATTAACTCGTGGCAATGTATGTGTATTACCGTAACTAAGCGAACTTATCATAAATATCAATTGTTGGCTTCGCTGTAACCTGTGGTCTGGCCGAAAATTGAACCTGTGTCATCTCGCATGCGGCGAATTTCGAATTAGCGGTTGAGCTTTTAAGGATTTTTTTAAGCATACAAAAAGATAAACATCGTCCGAAGAGTAAGATTTCCCTAAGATGATGCCACTAAATCCGAAATCCAAATCTCGAAGTTATTGCGCCGCCGTTTCTTTGTTAAAGCCATACACCAGATCATGAATCATGTCAGATAACTGTATATAGGTTTAAAGGCACTGGTTGTGAACAGTTACCGAGACAAGACTTATCTGCTGTAAAGCCTTTCAACCAAAACAGCAAATATAGGAACTATCAGAATAGGCCAGTGGTCTTGGGAAAGACGCACATGCGGAATTATCAAACCTGCATCCATACACAGGCGGTAGAACAAATCACCCACATGTTATAAACAACCTGTGTCTTGCACGGCTTGAATCTATATAACTATTGATTAATAGAGGGTTTTAAATTCACAATCATCAAAATCAATTTACAAGACGGAAAAAGACAATAGATGGATACTTATTTTATATAAGATTCAATAGTATTTTTTAAAACAATATTGAATACTTATTGTATAGAATTTTACGACACCTGCAACAGTTTTGAAACAGAATTTAGAGGCCATAATATAACAGCATGGTGAACAATTCGTAGAAGTGCAAGGAACAAAATAGTCGTTATAGAACTTCTTTTGCCTGAAATAGTTGCATTTTGTTTTTACTGTTTTACCGTTTTTCCCCAGAACGATATATCATCAATACTTTGATTTGTTTTAAATTGAAATATCGTGTTACTCCCGAGGAAACTATAATACCGTGGTATCGACATCGTAAATCGTTTGTAGTTAGAACATAGCACAGTTAAAAAAGCACTCGCATACATTGACATGAAACGAAAACGAAAAATAGGGGGAAAAGTATGTTATTTTTTATCTCATTTTACTCTACTTACACCAAGTGAACATACAAAATATATGCTACATCTGAATCAGAGTTAAACAAAATGAACCACAACATCAATACAAATTAGTCAAACTATATTCAAGAGAGACTATATAATAATTAGAGGTGAAGTTCTTGTTCCATTTTGGAAGCAGCCGTTGATTCTTTTTGTTGTTTATGATCTGATTAATTTTTCATAACACTTCTGCAAGATTTGCTGTTCATTTTGAGAAATGATTATGAAATATATGGTGGTGTCGTGAAAAGTTTTTAATTGCATTCTTACATTTTTGGACGTGGCACAAGGATCCTTAAACACTCTGAAAATCACTATGGAAGCAGGCATAAAGGCACATCATCGATTTACTGTGCGAGCTAACAATGTGAAGTATACATGCTACCAGCACACAGGTGCCAATACATCACAGAGGCGTATCCACTTCACCCTTAACCCTAATCCTAACCCTAACCCTAACAGCTCACGGGTGTCAATACATCACAGAGGCGTACCCACTTCACCCCTAACCCTAACCATAAAGGCACATTACCGGTTTACTGTGCGAGCTAACAATGGCAAGTATACATGCTACCAGCACACAGGTGCCAATACATCACAGAGGCGTATCCACTTCACCCTTAACCCTAATCCTAACCCTAACCCTAACAGCTCACGGGTGTCAATACATCACAGAGGCGGACCCACTTCACCCCTAACCCTAACCCTAACAATAAAGGCACATCATCGGTTTACTGTGCGAGCTAACAATGTCAGGTATATATGCTACCAGCACACAGGTGTCAATACATCACAGAGGCGTACCCACTTCACCCCTAACCCTAACCATAAAGGCACATCATCGGTTTACTGTGCGAGCTTACAATGCCAGGTATACATGCTACCAGCACACAGGTGTCAATACATCACAGAGGCGTACCCACTTCACCCCGGCAGATGTACACGTAAACCTGACAACAGAACCTTGAGAATATGTTCTACGACACGGAAATCAAATGAAACTGTGAAGACACTAATTACTTTTAATACAGGCAAACAGCGGTATACTGCGAAACACAATGTACAAAACCACCAGGAACTATCTCTACAAGAACGGGACCAAACATTGCCAAATAATCAGAAAGAAGCCGACATAATGAGTTCTAACTAAAATAAAATCGTCTTATTTCACACAAAATCCATTAGAATGAACCCCGCCAATAAGCCGACTTAATGCAGTGGAATTACCTCAGTGAATGTATCACTACACTAAGACAAATCCGTGTGATTATAACGGGTATATTTATAGACCAATGCACTGAGTGAACTCAGAATAAGAAAGAATGATTAAAATCGATACTTTATCAAAAAACACTTACATAGAAAGATGAACACTATTTTCAGAAGAATTATGTCTCGGAAACACGCAAATAAATAAATAATAAAAAGCTTCAAGCTAAAAATAAATCAATAACAAAAATTAAAAAGTCAGAATTAAATGTAAAAGACAAACAATAAAAATATTAAATCAAAATAGATGAAAAAAACAAATATAAACAGCAAAAAGCATATACAAAGAAAACACTTGAAGACTGAAAGTAATGTTCTGAGAGAGACTGTATAGCACTACATATAATCTCTTCTGTCAAATACGAGTAAATGTGTAGGTTAACAAGTATACAAAGACACAAATATAGAAGTCACTGCTCTTGACAAACACAGTTTTATAAGGTCTCAGTTGTGCAACTTCCGTTTTGATATTTATTTCTTATGCAGC